CAAAATGTTTGAGTTAAAACTGAGAAACTTTTTCGTATACGTTTTAAAGTTGGAGGATCCTACCTGAATGACCTGTTGCTCAAAATTGTGTATCTGAAAATCCTACTTAGCTAGATTGATTTTTTCATTCCCAAAACGCTTTACTTACGTGCAAAATTTCATATAAACCGTTAGTCCAGTTTCGGAGATCCTGTGGATCCACATAATATTTATACTAAATAAGATATATCGATATATTCAAATACAAGCTTTTGCCCGCGACTTCGTTTGCGTCGAATAGTTACTTCCTGCAAATTTTTGGTTTAAAAACTATCCTACGTCCTTTCTCGAGTTCCGAACAATGTCTGTGTGTAAATTTCATAGAAATTGGTTCTGTAGTTTAGGCGTGAAGAAAAGACAGACAGACTTACTTTCGAATATTTATAATAATAGTTTGGAAGTTTGGATAGTTTGGATTTGGAACTTGTTAAAGGTAAAATAAGTCTGTTAGTAAAATTACTCGTAGACTAAAAAGTTACTTTAAAAAGCATTGAATGAAAATAGTAAGTAGGTAGGTACCATAGATCCATGACAGTCTTCATTACTTCAAGTACCTATTGAACATTAATTAGGTACATAATTCAGTTTATTAATGAAACAATAACTATAATAATATTTATGTAATGCTATTTACAAAGACTCAAATAAACAGACCTTTGTTCTTTACGAAGATAAGTCGAATGGTTGACTCGATTATTTTAACGATTCGATTGATAAAATCTGTGCGAGCCTATTGCGAATTTATCGATAATGTAGGTCAGTTCACAAGATTAATTAAAGTTATCTGTAATGTTTATGGTACTTCTTAAGCCGTCCATAAAAATCCATGCAGTTTTATACAATTGATATACTATAATGATACTTTATGATTTTAAGAGTTCTTCCTATTTTATTGGCAGTGATACTTTAAAAAGTTATATTCTCAGTAAGGGATGTAGTAATCGTTTAGGTTTCGTAAAGAAATTAGATCGACTATTATTATCCTATACATTTATAGCAGAAGTTTAAGTGAGGACGCTGACAATCATGACGCAAAGTTGCCCAGTAATCTTAGAATGGATACAAATTAGGCATTTCTCTAGCCGTATATGAACACAATGTTTCCTGTGTAAGCAATAATATTCCCCCGCTTGGAGCAGGTGAATGAACGAAATGGTTTTTAGTCAGTAAGAGTATGACACTCCTTCTCGCTCCAGCCAGGGCCGGACGAAATTAACCTCGCACTCAAAAAAATAGAGAGCCAAGATAGGGTTCTACCGGTTCTATGAGTAATCAAGTCTCCAGCAGTTGAAGATCTTCATCACCAAGTTGTATAAATCCAAGATTTTGATGCGGATTTTTTAAAACACTGAACTGAACTGATTGAATTGGATGGTTTATATGTATAATTACATCCATTATATCGTTGAGAAATTTAGTATTAGTATTGCGGGTTAATGTCAACCTTAACAGGTAAAATAGATGATAGTCTAATCAAATTATTACATTATCATCTTAGATTACCTACTTGACAAGACAACTTTGCACACGTTCAGGTTTGCGCACGAGTGGTTGGAAGTTACCTAGCTGTAGTGCCGTCTTGCCGAAACTCCATACCGTTATGTCAGATACTCGTATTTTTGTGAATGTCCTCGATTTCTGTAGCTATGTCGTTTATTTCTATTGTAACGGAAAGTTTTAAAGAAAAAATTGTTCCAAGAATATTTGAAAAAAGTTTACTGCGTCGCATCTTTGTAGAAGCCTTACTTTTTCTGTCTTTTTACCTTCACTTCAAAATTTGTGTGTGTCCATTAAAACCGTGTAAAATTCCTTATTCTGTTTAGTTGATTTTTGTTAGGTATACGTGTATTCGTACCATCGCTCCGTGGTGTATCAATGTTGTCATATTAAATACCATAACAAGACAAAATGTTTGTCCAATGTTATGGAACTTATTGCCAGTCACTTTTACTTTACTTCCTGATTCATTTTACATTTTTGCTCGTTTTCATTACTTATGACCATTACGGCGAATACCATTACTATCCAAAATAACGCCAGATAAGGATCTTCCTATCGTAATCTAATGTCGTAAATGTGGGAGAGCCTTGCTTTGGCAGAAATGGGACAGGTTGACCGGAGTGATGACTGATATCACAACCTCACAGAAAAGTAGTGTGAAATTACAATAGCGTTGTGTTTTCCGAGCTCCTCAACTGCTAACCATAAAGCAGCCAACAAGACTTCATCCTTTAGGTCTCGGCCTTGGTCGTCCGTAGGCTGTCCTAAATCCCAAAAAATCTTAAAGAATCCCCACTCGGGCTAAGCACCGTCGTGTTCTTAGGGAACTGATCGGCGGCGGCGATCGCAGTTGTTTTAAGTCAGTGAGAGTCTGTCATCCCTGTCGTCCCGCCCTAGGGCGGGAACAGTCACTTGATAATTATTTCCCCTCAAAAAAGGACCAAAAGAATTTAATAAGGTTGAGATGCAAAGAGACTTCTGCCTAAAATTCCCTTCGACGTTCAAAGTCTCTCTCTATCTCTCTCTATGAAGAATCGATGACATTTCCACGTTTATCATTTTTGTCCTAACTCAATCAGTTAACTACATCGAATCGCGAATTGGCCGATTGGTTACAAATAAAGAAGTTGAATACTAACAGCTTTATAAAGACCGTATCACGACCTAGAAGCGTGTACAGATGTTTCAATCAACACAAATTGATTTCTTCAGTAGTCTCGTTTGATTACTTGACATAGGCTGACCGTTTGAAACAGTGCTCTTGTTTTCATGCCATTTATTGATTGGCTTGCATCGTTATGAGGCCCAGAACGGACGGCTGATGTAATATGCTGTCTATTTGTTGTTTGTTATCTATTATATTACCTGATTACGGTTTTTTTGCTATGATATATATGATGTGATTTGTGTACGATATGCCTATCAGGAATAATTTTCTTTTTTGCAAGTATACTATTTTTTTGTAGTCGTATTTTATTTGTTTCGTGAAAGTAAGTTTTGATGATAAGTACCTATAGTTCATAAAGTTTCAATTTAGAGAGTCTTCTGTCATTATTAAGAGATTGGTTCAGTTCAGAATCGTGACTTTGAGCTAAGTAGCAATAGTACCTAAATGGCACATCCAAAAGTTTTTATTTAAGAGGAGAAAGAGATTTTTTTTCTATCCAATTATAATGAAAATAATCAATATTGATTGAAAATATAATTGCAACTTTTGTATTTAATTTCGTTCTGTAGTGCTTCATTGGTAACCAAAATACACGTGTCACGTTAAAAATTCTGTTATCACTTGCACCATCTATGTGTAAATATAGTAGTTTCCAACTAGTCTATAAATTCATACTTTTATCCAAATGTCAAAAACGATACTTTTCTATGAATTTTGTATGAAACTCCTTTGTAGTATTTTTGCGTGAAATTTATTTATTTATTTGTTAGTTTATTATTCCTTAAAAGTTAGCTGCAAAATATCGAAAATTTAGTTTATCGACAAATCGACGAAGAAAAGTATATTTAAGTAGTTATTTTTCAATATAATTATAGTATTGCATTACAACCCAATTGAGCAAAGGTTGAACGAATTCGTTGAAACTTTTGTTAATCTGTTTCCAAGTTTGAATTATTTTAAGTTTTTCTATTTTTGAATATAGAACGCGACAGATGTTTTGTTTTTTTGCTGCATTCACGTCAACGAGAATACCTGTTTTGTTTTGCAAATATCTGTTTCGTTTTTCATTATGGCAATCACATCTGATTTAAATAATATATTGAAATGATTGGTAGTTAGTTACTTTATACACTACATTTGTTCATTTAAGAATAAGATTTAAATAATATAGGAGAATTAAAAATAGGGAAGTACTTATATTCTGGGTTTTATATTCTTACCAAATGATAACGTTATTGTAGTCGAATAGTTTAGTAATAATATATGTATAACTCCAGTAGCAAACTAAAAAAACTTTCTCCGTTTCCATGGAGTGTTTATAAACATAATAAAAATTAACATATACATCACACCTAGACACGGAACAGAATTTATGGATCGCACACAGAGTTGCTCCGTGCGAGAATAAAACCCGCAATAATTATGTTGTATATAGCATGGCAGTCGCTTCCTCAACCACCGCTTTAACTGTGTGCACTTGTGCAGTCCACATATCATGAAATTACGACATTAAAACTTGAAACACGGAAAAGTTAAGATAAAATAAACATTTTAATTTTTTAATTATCTTATTCACGTGAAGAACGAACGAAAAACTAGATAATACTTACTTTGTTGCACTTTAGATTTATCTAAAGCGTTTTATTGCGTGCATGTAAATTATTTGGTTAGCAATCGTGAACATCAGCTAAAACAAATTTCTAATTTATTTTTATATTTTAATGATTGAATATTTATTGTCGAATATATCTTTAGGCCAAGTAATAAATGCGATAATTAAAATAAATATTATAGTTACATTAAAAATATAACAATTCAGGTATTAGTAAAATTTTTTACTGCATGTTTTTTTTATCGTATATGTAAGCAATTGGCGCCGCCCGTCCATGGACTTCGCAAAACCAAAGGAGTTACGAGTGCGTTGCCGGCCTTTTAGGGATAAGGGTTTCGGATATTTAAGTTAAGGTTATAGGAAGGGATGGGGCTCCCCCTATTCCTTCCTATAACTTAAGTGGGCAGGGATTGGGCTTCCGGTATTCTCACTCACAGAGTCTGATATTCGCCCTAGCCGGTGGTGGAAGAAGTCTTTTAATGATATACCTATATATACCACCTTATAAAATCTTTAACTAGGTACTTATTCTTGGTAATTTGAACCGTAATAGACGAAGAATATTTGCGTTAACGCTGTTCGCTTGGTGTTGCATGAATTAAACAAGTGCAATGCATTTATTATCACAATTTTCAGCCTTATAAACTTCAAGTTCCTACATTACTGCATTTGCTGTATCAACTACAATCGAGATAAACGTCTTATTACAAGATAGGTATAATCTTAGTTATCAGATAGACTCTCCGTATATATGCTGAAGATGTTTGCTAAGCAAATATTACTTTAGTTACATCTGAGTTAAGTAGGAAAAGAGAGAAAATAATCAAACAAAAATGACATCGCGATTCTATTTGTAGTTACGTCATTAAAGTTTATTTTTGTGTGTAGTTTTCTTTTCTTTTTTAGTATATTTTTATTGGTGTTCGAAATGTTGCTGGAAAAGCTTTTAGGAGTGAGTGTTTTGTTATTTTAACACAACGAATATTTTAAAATTATTATTTATTTGTTTTAAAAACGATGCCCCACACTAGGATTTTCTATTTCGTAGGTGCGCAAACATACAATTTCACATACACATCACACTCAGACCTGCAACATTAAAACAGAAAGAGTCTGTGCGAGAATCGAACTAGCGACACATAGAAATCCAGCTCAGTTACCGTGCCAGTCCTGCATTCATGTAGTTATGATAGTTTATATTATATAGTTATAGTGCGTTGTAGTTGTCATAATGTGTCATGCCAAATAAACGCATTATTCTTTCTTTCTTATGTATCAATGTCAAATATTTATGAAAATTAAGGTCTAATCTAGTATTAGTTTTTTTCTACTAAAATTATTCGAATGTGAAATGATTGATATACCTTGGTATACTTACAACTTTGTTCAATATTTTTAGTATGTTATGTTAATTTTGCTTCTTGTTCTAGTTCGAGATGGTGCAGTCAGTGTTCGGAGTATGGGACTACGCCATCATGGCGGCCACGATGGTGATATCAATAGTAATCGGCTTATATTTCCGTTTTAGTGGAGGAAAACAGGCCACTAATGAGGTAAATACACATTTTTCTTAATTAAAATTTAAGTATTTGAAATATGAGTTTTACTTTTTATTGTGTCTCGATTTACCTCAATTGAAAGGTTAAAGAATAAAATAATAATTATGCTATTTAATAGAGTTTGGTGTTGCCATATTCTAAAAACATTTTAACTTTCCGTACAATGCATATATTCGCTCCCTGAAACATTCTTAAGCAATATAGTATGGACGTTATTTTGTTATATACTAAATTAACAATTTTATTTCCACCAGGAATATCTGCTGGCAGACCGCAACATGTCAATATTACCAGTGGCCGTATCCCTAATGGCTTCATTCATGTCAGCCATCACTTTACTAGGGGTGTCAGCTGAGAATTATTACTACGGAATGCAATTCGTTGTAATCAACATTTCATACGGCGTCGCCACCCCTATAGCGAGCAGATTATACTTACCAGTCTTCTTTGGGCTACAAAAAACAAGTACTTATGAATATTTAGAAATGCGATTTGGACCACATATCAGAATGTTGGCATCTTTAACTTATACTTTACAAATGGTCCTTTATAATGGCATAGTTTTATATGCCCCTGCTATAGTACTCGAGGCTGTGACAGGGTTAGACAGACTGATCTCTATATTAGTCGTAGGCTTAGTTTGTACGTTCTATTCAACTTTGGGAGGGATGAAGGCAGTCCTCTTTACGGATCTCCTCCAATCAGCTCTTATGTTTGGAGCTGTGTTTAGCGTCGTTGTGTTCGCTTCCATGCAAGTTGGAAGCTTCGGACAAATATTTGCTATTGCAAAGGAAAGTGGAAGACTTGACTTTTCAAAGTAAGTTTTAATCTAATATCGGGTCTATTCTTTCTTTAATAAGATCGTATTTTAATATTCATTGTTCAGTTTCAGCGTGGATCCTACTGAGAGACATACTTGGTGGTCCCTGATTATCGGAGGATTGGTGACTTATTTGTCTTTGTATGCTGTTAACCACACACAGGTTAGTAGAAACTCTACTATTTATTCTAGTTGTTAGGAACTATTTCAAAATCGTTAGGAAAACTAATCTTAAAGGCATTTTTACAAGTTAGATAATATAAACTATTATCTACTAGCTACTCTCGCGCGGTTTCACCCGCTCCATTTGATTGTACCGTAATGTTTTATAGCCTATAGCACTCAGGAACATTGTACATGTGGCAATCCAACCAGCGGTTCCAAAGATTATCCCCTACATACATACTTAAAAATTTTACCTCTTTATAATATTAGTATCAAATTCTGTATCAATAAATGCGTTGCATAGTGCCCAAAATTCTAGTCTGAGGGTTGGACCATAACCTTATGGTTATCGAGTCGTACCACTTTTGTTCTGCAAAGAAGCATGACGATGCTTATTTGTCTGTCTGTCTGTCAATATATTTAATCTGAAATATTTCTTATCTACATCATGTCATTTCATTTGTAACTAGCTGTGCGCGGCGGTGTCACTCGTGTAGTTTATTATATTATATTAACCGGGGATCATAGCGCTCCCAAACAGAGACATATTTTATTTTAAATTAGCTTAATAGTTTTACAGCCTTTTCAATGCAAACAATCATATTTTTATTCTTTATAGTATTAGAAAAGAAAAAATTCTCAGAAACAAAACTTAAGTTTTTTTATAGGGTGAATATCATCAAATGACTTATCTAGTCCAGGGTATGGTGAGAAGTAGTGTCAGACTCTTACTGACTAAAAACCACTCCGCTCCTTTTACTGATCTAGGTCGAGGCCCGCAATTCCAGCTGAACATTGGCCCTGTTGGGTCCCATCTGTGGTGGTCTATTGGCTTTTTGAGTCACGTTTGGAATACTTACGTATAATTTCCCATATCGCAAAATGTTAGAAAGATAATACTGATTAATTTTTTTAAATACTTCAGAATGGATAAACTTTTAGCTTTTAGCTTTACTACTGTTTCTTAAATTTTGTTACTTTTTCTCTACACGTGGATGACAAGATAAGAATGTAATTAAACACAGTCTAATTAAAAAGTAGTATACACAATTTAGATTAAGCAGTTATTGTAAAATGGAATCTTTGAGCAAATATTTATAAAGATAAGCAATATTTTGTGAGACTGTGCAGGCTTTATCTTCAAATAGAGTAATCCACTTGTAGTTCGTTATCTGTATTTATATTTGCACTGAAGATGTGCACTCGTAAGATAATAATGGTCTTAGTAAGAAGGTCGTAATGTTCTGTTTTAGGATTCAGTAGCAAGAAATATTTTTATAGGTTGGTGTATATGTTATAGTCAAAGTTCGATACACAGTCTCTACGCGGAAGGACTGGTTTATCCTAGGTTTGGCCAAAACCATCAGGCAATGCCCGAAATGCATTTCAATTTCGCCCTTTGCCTGAAGTATTTTTAGTCAAACCCAGGAGCTCCTAACTTTTCAGTCAAACGTCGAAAGTAAATTATTCTGTTTCGGTTTTGGCCTAGTCCATCCTAGAAGCGACTGCAAAACTCGTTGACTCGACTGACTCGTGTTTTGACGTTTGCCAAAACACCACCGTTTGACCAAATGAGTCTCTCCCAGGTTTGACGAAAATTGTTTAGTCAAAGGCCGAAAATTTACATTTGTTTGGGCTTTGACTAAGTCATTCAGTCTGACCTGAGGATTGACCAGTCCAACCTAGGAGCGCCGGAGCTTCGGAGTTTGCCTATAACACATATACATAATACATTCCCTTGGTTAGTTAGCTATCATGACTGTTTTTTATCTGCTACGGTGGTAAACGAGCAGACGTATGACCAATCGGCCCCGCTCATCGACACGAGCAATACCAGAACAGTTGCTAGTGCCTTACTGGCCTTTTAATTTTTAATGGTTTTTGGGAATTTAAGGGTTGGGTGGGGTGGAAGAGGGGAAGTATTTGGCCTCCTCATATTTGAAATGACACAAAAGAGTTAAAGAAGAATGAGATAATGGCCATTCGAAATTATTTCCCACAATTATTTTTATACTGCTGTTTATGAAACGTTTTCTAGTGTTTACTCTACTACTATTAAAATACATTTAGGAGCCCAAATGCATTCCATAATAAACCCCGCATATAACGAAATTTTAATCCGTTTTTCACGACAAGATTTAGAATCCTAACAAATACATAATGAAAGAGGCATATCGTATTTAACATAAGTTCCAATATTATTAAAGCGATAGGTAATATAATTATATAACTAATTAATATAAATCTTCTTGATTTATGTCAGTTTTATAAAATACTATTTAATATATAAAGGTCATTGATTTAAGAATAAACATTTATTGTTTAATTCAAGCTATAAATCCTCCAGTATCTACTTAATTTAGATTAAATTAATGGTCAGGTCACGTCAATAAATTGTCTGCATATCAGAGACTTTATTTTTTTATTTCTATCTCGTAGACTGAGCTTGGTTACAACAGAGGCATTGTGTAACCTCCTTTTTAAAACCAGTTAAAAAAAAGATGAAAACTATTTTTAATTTCCGTCTGACAAAATAGTTCGAACGCGGGATTGTAAATTAAACTGCTCACTTTTTTCTAAAGTATCGCCCCGCCCGCCATGCTATGTTAAGTACTTACAATATACTATGTGAGGTCTCTCGGTTTCATTCATTTGTTTGAAAGACTACTATGGCCTGAAAAGAGTTGCTATGTATTTCCCAATGCCCCTATATACCTTAAGAAACTACAACCATGGCAAATTCTGATGCATTTTAAAATTACACAGTTAACTTCTGTTTTTAACTTACAAACTTAAAACTGTTAAATGTAAAAATGTTTATTTATATTAAAATTGCCCTTAGTAGTTCGTAATTTTGAATTTGTAGTACTTTCATAGTTTCTTTGCTCACAACTCATATCTTGCAGATTTTCGAGAAATTTAATTGCCAATTCATGTTTGTGCTGGAAACGGTTAAATCCAATTTAAGCGTTCCTATCAGGCAAATGTATCGTTTTTAAGCATCCAGCGAACTACCCATAGACGGTATTTGTACATGAAAAATACACGCACTGTTCGTCCGACGGTCGTCCGTGTAACATGGACATACCATAACAGTGACCTTTGTTTAAATTAAAAACTTTATTTATTAAACAGGTCGCTTCGTGCCCAAAATACATTGACGGACGAAGGTGTTTGTTTTTCAACGTCTAGACATAATTATTATTTCAAAACATGGGCGAATAGGCTTAGATTTCGATGTCTGTTGTGTCCTGTATGCTTTTGTAATTGTTACAGTACTAAAAATGTTATGATGAGTTCAACGTGTTTTGTTATAGTACGAATAAATATTGATTGTTTCGAAGTAAGTATGTATTGGTCGTAGAGGGTTGGATTGTAATATGAGATTTGTTTTATCTTACTTAGTAATATGTTTGGTATAAATAAAAGGTCGTGAGACATTCTAAATTAATTATTATGATTTCTGCTTACTCACGTAATAATTCGACGAGATACTCGACTAGTTTCAAGCCATGCTATCAAATTCATAAGCATATGCTCTCGTCAAATTATTACGTGAGTAAGCCGAAAACATAATAATTAAATAAAAGGTATATTTAAAAAGGCAATTTTAAGTGTGGGAGAGCCATGCTTCGGCACGAATGGGCCAGCTCGACTGGAGTGGTACCACGGACTCTTAGAGAAAATCGGCGTGAAGCAAAACTTACGTTTTGTTTCCCCGTGTGTATGAGGCTAACGGAGGCCCAATTCTTTCCCTCCCGTTTTTTTTCAAGTTTTTTTTTTATATATCTACTTGTCCTCTTTCTCAGGTACAAAGGTTGCAGACTGTGAACACACTGGAACGGTCCCAGAAATGTTTATGGTGGAGTTGGCCAGTCCTCTCCGTACTGAGTGTGGTGACCTGCATCAGTGGTCTTGGCATCTATGCTGTGTATAAGGACTGTGATCCTTTCATGAGCCACAGTATTTCAGCGGTAAATTGGAGTTTTTAAACATAGTTTTTTTGTTTCATAGAAGTACCCCCAAAGGTCCAAGGGAACTAACCTGACCTTCAAAAATACTTTTTATTTCTGTAATATTATTATGTACTTTTTTTTGATAGTGGTTTTCTCAAATATTTCTTTCTTGTATAGTTCTCATTGATGCATCAAACCCCAAGTAAACGCATCTGGCGTTCACGCATCTTTTGTCTTACAATTTTATTGTGTCTGATATTACCACGATTGAAGGTTAAGAGGGATCCTCATTACGATCACCTTGCTGTTTTAGATTTACTGTGATTTTGATATAAATTATGCTTCTTTTTTTTATTAATAATAAAATGAATTTAATACCCAAAATTACACGTCCAATTTCCGTCTGTAGAGCGATTATCTCCAAAAGATTATGCTTATTGTGATGTGTATTATTGGTACGCACGGGACTTCATCGTCTCGATGTTTTCATGGTTGTAACTACTCTAGGTACTGGCTTACGTGAGCTGGAATGGTTTTAGGAGTATGATGTTCAGAACAGGTGTAATTTGATCTTCCTGCTACAGATTGACCAGTTGATGCCATATTACGTGGTGGATGCCATGAAGGATGTACCTGGCTTGGCAGGGCTCTTTGTAGCTGGTATCTTCAGTGCCTCGTTATCCACTATCTCAGCATCCTGCAATGCTTTGGCTGCAGTAACGTTACATGACTACGTTGGCAGGTAAGGTTCAATGTGATTTGTGAGTTAAGTCTTTCTCTGTAAGATATACTTTGCATTGACTATTTAGCGGTGTCTCTTGGTCTTGGTTCTTGTTACCAACTAGGTGTAATTGTAATACATTATTTATGATTTTTATTTAAGAGATATTTTAGATTGTATTGCTCATAATGGTTACTTATATGATTTCATTTTTCTCTTATCATCACTTCAAGAGGAAAGCTTAGTGAAAGGTACTTTATTGTTTATATATGCATTTAATTTTGTTCATTTAGATAGTTTGTGTTAGTAGCTATTATAGTTATGGTGTTGTTAAATAGATCTTGTTAACCATTTTATTATGAAGCATGCTTTGGTAATACACCTTGAAGTTATTTTAAATTAAACCAAGAGTTTGATTCTGTTTGGCACTTCCCATTCTTTCCCAGTTCTTTTTTCTACGTCCTTACGAAATCAAATTAAACATGAATTTAGTACAACTATTCTACGCTCTTTGTAACATATTACACAATTATTAACTAGTTTCTGCCAGCGATTTCGGTAAAAAGCCTACGTGTTTTTCAGAGTATAAAGTTTAGTTATAACACGTATGCAACGTGTTTTTAATAGCATATATTTTAATATCAAACAATTTTAGTAGTTTATACGTAAAAGAGTAACAAACATCCACTCATCAACACCATACAAGACTTACAAACTTTAACCCTTAGACCGCTATGATTGGCTATAAACGACAAGCGAAAATGGGGTTATTTTGCCACTGCACCAAAAACCGTCATAATTAATGTTTGGTGTGTATCGCCTATACCCAACTATGGCGGTCAGAAGTTTAAGATTTATAATACTTGTAGCATTTTTATTGATTTCTTTGACTTTCTAACATCCAGTATTTTTATTATTCTAGAGTATATTAAATCAGTCTGTCTTGCACATAGGTGGTGCAAAGTTCCTGCTTCCTACGTGCCGTGGTTGACCAAGTTAGCAGCCTGTGGATACGGCCTGGTGTTCCTAGCTCTGGCTTTCATAGCTGAACACCTCGGTGGTGTACTCCAAGCTGCTCTTACTATCTTCGGAGCCGTTGGTGGACCATTACTGGGAGTCTTCACCCTTGGAATGTTCACTACATTTGCTAATGAGAGGGTGAGTGTGTAGCCGTACCTACTTTTTTTATGTGATATGTTGCTAAACGAGCAGACTGATTACCTGATGGTAAGCAATCAGCGCCGCCCATGAATACCTGCAATACCAAAGGAGTCACGAGTGCGTTGCCGGCGTTGTGGGAGATAGGATTTTGGAAATTTACCTCAACAATCAAACAACAAATGGTTCAAAATTTTTGATTTTTTTGCCTCTTAAGTTTGGACTTCATACAGTAGATGTTTGCTGAAACGGTACAAAAGTAAATTTATAGCTTTAGTTTTTGAATACATAGAAAATACTTAGAAGAAACTTACTTAGAAGTGCTGCGAATTTAGTTTAAAATTAGATTAAAATTTTGTTAATAAAAACAAAATTTTGTTTTAAATTTAAATTTATCTGATTCATCTAAAACGGTCTATTAGTATTTTTTGTTTTGAGTAGAAAATCATCATATACTATATGACTTCTCCCAACTCCCACCTATAGTGTCAGACTCTTACTGACTAAATCCCGTTCCTTTTCCTGCTTTACAATTAGTATGATCTTCGCAAAGAATTTAACCATAAGTATCATGTTTGTTCTTGCAGGCAGTGTCGGTAGCTCTATTAAGTGGAATGGCAATGACGCTGTGGATAAGTTTCGGAGGGCCCCGACCTCCAGTCGCAAAGTTACCTATTAGTGTTGAAGGGTGTGGCTTCAACGTCACGCAGGCAGCTACAGCAGCTACAAACCCCAGTGATTACTTCTACCTCTACAGAATATCATATATGTGGACCAGTCCGGTAAGATTTTTTTAAGTAGTTGTAACGTTCGTGGTGGCCCAAAGGTTAAGGCGCCTACTTCTCATACAAACGTCACAGATAGAAATGTATCCGAAAATAAGAGAATTAGTCATCATCACAATATCATTTAAATAAATAATATTCTTTATATTTATTAAAATTACTCTAAAATAACATTTTTAAATGTTACTATAAAATAAAATAATTTTTAAAAATATAAAAGTAGGAGCCAGCCGGCAGCGGGAGCAAGGTCCAAGCTACCGGCAGTTAGGGCTCCAGAGACAGGAACCTCCTCACAATACGTGCCGTTTCAAGGAGGACTGCCTTCTGTATGAGGCCCTTGATCCATCCGCCTAACGTCAGTCTCTTAAGGTGGTTGTCGAGGCTTTTGGGGACTAACCCATTTGCCGACACAACTATCGGCACAACGATAGCCGAGTCTACACTCCACATGTCAACAACCTCGTGAGCTAAGTCAAGATATTTCTATTGTTTATCTTTCTCAGCTTTCTCGAGGTTCTCGTCATGAGGAATGGCAACATCGATTATCGTCGTGCGACGCGCTAGTCGGTCTACCACCACTATGTCAGGCTTATTGGCTACAATAGTCCTGTCTGTGATGATAGACCGATCCCAGTACAATGTGATATGGTCTTTTTCGAGAACTGGGTTGGGCACATACTTGTAGTACGGAACCTCAGACTCAACAAGCCGGTATTTCAAAGCAAGTTGCTGATGAATAATCTTGACCATCTTGTTAAATAATATTATTATTATTAGCATAAAATGGAAGTTAATTCATGCATCTCCATTGATATTATAATAATTTTGCTTCGCCGTGTAAGTGAGGTTACCGGAGGCCCAATCTTTCCCCACCCCCAATCCCTCCTCAATCCTTAATTCTCCAAATCCCTAATCCCTAAAAGGTCGGCAACGCACTCGTAACTCCTCCGTTGCGGGTGTCTATGGGCGGCGCTGATTACTTACCATCAGGTAATCCGTCTGCTCGTTTGCCGATCTATTAAATAAAAAAAAAGTTAGCAACGCGACATCGACGTGTCGATCGAATCGATTGAAACTACTTTTTACCCGACTGCCAAAGAAGGAGGGTAATGTTTTTCGAGTGTATGTAAGTATGTATGTATGTCTTTTCCTTTGTGACCTCCTGTAGCCTAAACGGCTTGATGGATTTTGATGTATGAGGTATCGTTAGATTTGTCTTGATTACGGGAGTGTCATAGGATACATTTTATCCTAAAAGTCCCACGGGATAAAGACATAATAATATTTTTTCTAAATTTCCCTTTAAAAAAATATGTATGCGGTATCATTAGATTCATTTCAATCACGGGAGTAACGTTAAATAAAAACAGCTAAAAAGTTATAAATAAAAAAAATATTATTAAAAAAACAAAATACCCGACTGCACACTAAAAAAAGAGTAAAACAAGCCCCACAATACAAATTTACTGAATATAATTTATAAATGTTGATGGAAAGCATCGCAGGCGGGGACCACCTTGACCACCACCAACGAAAATTCTGCTAAATGGTGCACAACAGAAATGACTATAAATAAGCCTCTGTTGGTCCCCGCCTGCGATGCTTTCCATCAACATTTATAAATTATATTCAGTAAATTTGTATTGTGGGGCTTGTTTTACTCTTTTTTTAGTGTGCAGTCGGGTATTTTGTTTTTTTAATAATATTTTTTTTATGACCACATTTATCACGATTGATTATTTTGCTTTCTGTACACTGTGAAGAGATTAAAATATAAACTTGTAAATTAATTAATTTAAAGCATAATTTTTAAAGTAATTAAAAAATACGTATTGATAATTGAGTCAGCCAGGGCTGCGGGGTAAGCGCAATGAGGCACCGCGACCTCGGCCTAGAGCAGGAGAAGGAAGAGTCAGGAGGTTTTTAGTCAGTAAGAGTCTGACATTCCCTCCCGCTCCAATCTGGGCGGGAGAGGTCATTTGATGCTCTTCCCCTCACAAAAAAAAGTCGGTAGCGCGATGTGCAAAGTGCTCACGAGTGAGACAACAATAGTCACTTTAAAGTAGTAGAGCATTTCCCAGTCAATTCACGCCACTTCTTATTTTCAATAAATATAATATTAAACATGTTTTGCACGAATGGTACTGTATATGATGTAATCAACTGTAGGAGATATACAGAGGTACAGATTGACCTTGTAAAGTTTGAAAATGTATCATTTCACTTAGTACAGGAATCGCTAGGTACCAAAACCTTTAGCGCGTCATTACAACTTGTGACTACATCACTAACTAGCTACGAGTAAAAATTAATTAGATACTAATTAGCTTCTTTATTCCAATACTATATATGTTACATCACAAACTTATAAAAAACAGAATGTTTCTACGTAGGAACGAATATATAATAAGAATGTATTCATGTATTTATCAGTCACATTTGTATGAATGAGCTCACGGTCATAAGGTTAAAAGGTTGAAAAGTATAGATGTAAGATCATTGTGTAAGAGATTGTGAATCTGACAGTGTGACGCTTATTCTATCAATGACGTATAGACAGGAAACTAGGGATCTATGTCGAGATAAGGTTCGGAATGTTTGGGGTCATCACAAAGTCAAAATAGATATATGTAGGTGTCAATCGTACGTGTAATGTAAACGAACTTTTAAATACATACATTGATATCATTGTTTTAAAAGTTCATGTTTACAATATTAGAAGCGTTTTAAAATTTTGCTCTTGTTGCATAAGTATACATATTTTGCGTTATATATTGTTTTTAAAGATAAGTCGGCAGACAATAATCTAGGTCACTTTATGGTAATGAACCAGCGCCCTCCATAGACAAAAACATTGAAGAGTTACAAGTTCCTTGTCGGCTTTTTAGGGGTTAGGGATTTCGGGATTTGAGGATTGAGGATTGGGCCTCATTAATCTAGCGTTGTTTCTTTAAGTCTAGTCTTCGGTTTTCTTTAAGATCGTGGTGTCACTCCAGTCGAGCCGCCCAATTTGTGCCGAAGCATAGCTCTTCCACATTTTTCCTAACATTTAATGTCATGGATTTCCGCAAAGTAACGCCTGATTCTATTAACTACAATTTTCTTGATATTTTTTTAATTATAAACATCACCATATTATTACAGATTGGTTTCATCTGGGTGATTGTGGTAGGGACGGTGATATCGCTCCTATGGCGACAGAAACAACCTTGGGAACGCCAAGGCAGGTCACATCCAGACCCTGAACTCTTCACACCACCCTTAGCCAACAGGTTAAGGGCACGGCATGAAGAAAAACCTGCAGTGCAGGTAACGAAAGAGTAACATTTTGTTGCATGATGAATGAACCAGCTTTTATGGCACCACCAGAGTTATGCATGACTGCTTCTAGATAAATGGTTGCTTGTTTAATTTGTGCCTAGATTTTTTGTAGTTTTTGAGCTTTGTTTTGGGTTCATTTTGAAAGGGTTTTTATTTTATTGGTTTTATAGTTTGGTGTAGTTTATTTGGACAGTTTGGGCAGAATGTAGAAAAAACATTTAAACATTGCAATAATAGTTCTATTTGTTTATTATTGTTATTATTTTCACAAACTTTGATTGAGTAAATGTAATTTCACGCACTTGGTGCTAAGTGCTTTTAAAATATTTTGGTGTCATATATAATATATTTTTTTTTATGATTTTTAGAGATATTGCTTAGTTAGATCTTAATACTGCAAAATACTATTTTATTCTTATTTAACGCGGCATAACAATATCAGTATTACTAATATTCTAGCCATTAAATAATTACGAATAGAAACACAATAATGTACCTACGTAACTAATTTAATATTCTTACATTTTTCTATTAAAAGCTTCTGTTTATTGCATTATAGTTTTGTACTTTTTAATACATAGATTTGTTTTTTGTAATTACTTATCTTTAGTTTCATTTTATCATTTTTAGTAGTAGTTTATTTTCTAGATGTCATCGAGTGAGCTTTGAGCACTAAGCGCATTACTTGTTTGAGAGCTAAGGTTTGTACATTGCATTGATATTTTATTTTTTATTGCACGCCAAATCATGTCATTTTGCAATGAGGTTTGAGAAAGACGTGTTCCACTTTGGCACATATATTTTAAATTATATTTGCATATGTTTTGTTTGTACCTACCTAAAGTATTCTACGAATGGTGCTTTAAGAGTTGCCGTTAATGAATAATATATGCTTTAAAAAAAAATAGTAGGTTATTTTTGAGTTCGCAAATTTGTATTACTTATTTTTTTACCATCTTATTCAATGCGAACGCGCTCAATGTTGATCGACGCTCGCGGAGAATTTGCCATCAACAGTGCTTGTAGGCAGGTCAAGACTTAGACTAAATAATAGTTGCTAAAAGTGGAACACAGTTCAAAAGGGTCAGTTTCATCGATTAATTAGAAAAACAATCTGAGCGTTTTCGATGCAGTTTGATAATGTTTTTTTTAATAATATAATAATGATTGGTGAAACCTGCCCTTAAGTAGTTTTGCTTTATTGGGTGTAAAATTGGCCTGCAATTATTTGGATTTTGGTTCGCACTGGTTGTTGTATGAGTGCATTATTTATTTATAACAATCAATCAATTATTTTATCAGTATTATAGAATAGTACGTTACTAACATTATTAATACAGTTATAATTTATGAAACAATTCAGTATTATTTAAGTCTCACCAGATTTGGGTGATATTAAAAAATATATTTTAATAACGTTCCTGTTTTTATGAATTATATAATATTTACGGCTTACTCATATTGTGCACGCGAATAGTGTTGATCGACTTAAGAGCACCGCTGTGGTTCGAAAGTAGTCCGACATTCTGAAACGAGGTTTCTGTTGCGAGCGTAAGCCGTAAATATTATTTTTTAATTTATGATATCTTTTGATAATTAAAATTTTAAAAATGAATTGATTTTATAATATATTTTATTAAATTTTCAGTGTAAACTATTGCAATCGAACGGCGTTCAAGATTAATTTACCAACTGTACTTACTTACGTATTTATTTAAGTAGAAAATTTAAATTTAAATTAAGTTATTTTTTTATATAGATAAAAGGTTTTATATTGATTGTGATGCTTATTTTAATTTGGTTAGAGCTGCTTTTTGTTACATTCCTAGTTTACGAACATTCGTTTGGTGCCCACGGTACTACTAATGGTTCTATTAGCAGTACCATAAGAAAAAAAGACTTTGGATGACTTTTACTAATTCGACTAAAAAAAAAACATTTTGCTATTAAATTCCCCTAGCAAAGTTCAGTAACGGTAATAGTTATCGCTTTAAATATGAAATAAATGTATGGTAAGTGGATTAATTCGTTGACTATGCGATTTGTCGATATCCTTCAGAAACCTCAATACAATTTGTTTCATTTTCCAAAGCGATAAAGATTATTGATAATTAATGATAGTATCGACGTTGGTGGGATAGTACTAGATCATCTTAACACAGTACTACTGGTAGAGACCATTAGTAAATACCTCTTATATTATTAAACTTAATGCATAAATATTTTGGATTGATATTTTATACAACTCATGCACTTGAGTTACCAGATTTTATATTGTTTATTATTAACGCATAAACCAACCAGTCTTATTTTTTAACGCAACATGCTTTTAGTTTTTAATGCAAATGGCAGAGACATTAGCCTAATTAAAGTAAATAGAATCAATGTACGGAATTGACAGATATGGATGATGACGATACGATTACATAGATATAGTAAGTAGTAATTATTAATATCCATCTAGACGATCAATTTTAAGCGTTAGAAGTGGATTTCTTTTTATTACATAATTATTTAAATAAATAAAAGTAAACACTTCCGACGATCAAAATAAATCGTGTGACGTCACGATTGAGTATATTTCATAACAAGCGAAGACGTAGTGACTCCTAGAATGAAATTCGTTTTATATAAATATTGTTTTCACATACACCTACGATGAAATAAAACAAATGCGTGTCATATGTTTGTTCATTATCTAACTCTATCTCTCATGTATTTTGTAATATGTCGAATTCATTTTGAAGATTTGTCTTCTATTTTCTTGGATTGGCTATAATTTGTGCCATTTGTTTTACTGAGATGTTGCGTGTTATAACAAAATTCCGTTTCATGAAAGATGTAACTGAGATTTGTGAGAATGGTTTCAAGTTGGTTTGTATTCAGAGTAAGGATATCTAAGCGCCTAGTGCAAGTTTTCATTACGTAACTCAAGGCGATTGACACCTAATGACGTATAGCTTTCTGATTGGCCTGTTCCAAGTTGAAGAACCAATCAGAAGGCTTAACGCATCAATGTGAAGTAAACTGACACTAGGAACACTGTTAAAAAACGAACTATCGAATCTAGATTTAAAGAGGCAATAAAGTTATTGGATTTAAATTTCGAAATTAGTATTACATTAGCAATAAATAATTTATGAAGATTTTAGGTACTTATTTATTTGAAAAAAGAATAGGAAAATTATTTAAAATTATGAATAGTTTGTTGTTTAGTGTCGACGTGAATATATTTAATTGAATAACAGCATTTTAATAGTTGTTTTAAAAAGAAGCATAGATTATAAACGAAATTTGTCAAATGAACGTTGCCAGTCTAAAAACAAGCTCAATAATATAACGTATTTAAAAATGTTATTTTAAAAGTATTTGGAAACAGAGAAATTCTATTTATTTAAATAGAACAGAGTTAGGCAATGGGCAATGGGTCCGCTGTTATTAGGACAAGGCCATTATTGTGTAATGGGACTAAATACCACTAGATTAATAGGAGTTTAAAATAGAATACCTCAGCCTGGTTTAAAAAAAAAAGTAGTTAGGACCAATCTGGCCTTAACATTTTGTAGTAGGTACAAACGTCTCCGCATCAAGCTATCCCAATTTTATCAAAGTTTTTAGCACATTTTCGACTTAACTGCTTTTGAAATAACATTGAAAATCTTTTAACAGAATAAGGACGTTTGATGTGCAGGCGTTCGTGCCGTATTGGGTATGTGTGTCAAGTAGTCCATATAGGTGCACATATGTATTAGATCAAGAAAAAATATATTTATTGAATGTTTTATAGGAAATAAAACTATGTACTGCTTGGACGACTTATGTATAGTCTGCATAGTTATACTATTGTTTTTAGTGGAACCATATCTTTTGGAACGATTGGTTTGACTGAACATTATTCCAATAACACTAAAAATAAAATAAAATCAAAAAAGCTGAATTCAGCGCCATCTATCGGGGTAATGGCCATGAGCAGCCCGAATCATCCTTTATAGATAAACAGTGGTTACTAACACCCGGTTTCTGAAAGGCTTGTCAACGCTAAAATTAACTAATCTCCTGTTAAATCTCTTGTCAAGTCATCTGATTGGTTGTTGATAATTCAGTCAACCAATCAGATCACTTGACAAGAGATTAAATTGATTTTAACATTGATCGGCGTTTCGGAAACCGGGTGTTAGCCTATTATTTTTCTTTTTATGTATTTTGCAGACTGTACATTATAGGTACTAAATAAATTTATGGTATGTGAATATATGTATGACTTGTAAGCAGCGAGTTGAAGGAACGAGGTTTTAAAAAGTATGGAGCGACTTTCCTTTTCTATTTTTGAAGACATTTTTAAAAACCAATCTTTCGAATATAATTTTATTTATATTTTTATATACACTATGCTTTTGACGATATTTTTTATCTTTGTTTTTTAATTCAGTTACTGGTAAACATCCAAATATTTACGTATATATAAGGAAGTATAAATAGATAGAAAAATTGTGTGATCAAAGGGCAAGATATTATATCGTATAAATATGTAATATGTATAATGCTATGACGAAATAACATATAATTATGGTCACAATTAATTAAATGTTTGTAAAACAATTTAAAATATGTATGTTCGACGCAGTTTGTCTTCCATATTGTTACAAAGCTTGGCGTATTGTTGATAATTAATGCATTTTAGAAATGTATAGTTTAGATCTAGTATTATCATAAATTTAGTTTTATGCACAATGCAGATTTTTCGAAGGATCGTTTTGTTACTTAAACTTCTGCAGTGATTTCGGGGATCAAAGATTCAAAGGGTTGAGATATTTCACTGATCAACCGAGGAAATAAGAATCAAGGTAACGTTACTATTATTATTGAAGTTCAAGTACATATTTTATAATAATCTTTACTTTTTCTGAAAATCCAGTAAAATAAAATCAAAGGTCTAAGAATCTTCAATCTATATACTTACAAACAAAATGGAAAACCAACCAAATTTTTTCTTAACTTGTAATAAATAACTATCCTATTTGTTTATTATTATAGCCCTTATACCTACGTGTCTATTTTAATTATGAATCTTGAAGTATTTGATTGGCTGGTGAAAATTGCTGACAGTAAATACTGAGAACCAATGACTTCCCTGATGGACTGACCTTGAGTTGTTAACTAGTTTGTTTATATTTTTTTCTCGGAATCACTGTATGAAGTAGTCAACTAAGGGCTGATTTTTCAATAGTCATAAATGTTATCTGAGGAATAAAATTGTTGCTGTCACTGTCTTATACAAACATTCTGGCGCGACAGCATCATAATTATTCCGCAGATAACTTTTATCTAACCATTGAAAAATAGGCCCTAAATCAAATAAACAGGCTGTGTATACTGTGTGTAAGCACCAATATTTTGTAAGAATGATCTTAATTTATTTACCGCTCATTATTTTAATAAACTACGAAAAAGGTTTAGATACAATTTGTGCTTGTATTGGAAAGGAAATAAATACTTGATGGAATACATTTGTTTTTATTTATAGAACAAGACAAGGATCCTCCAATGTTTAATAATTGGTTATTATGAAAATTTAACTTAAAATAAGTACTTTAAGCTGACAGAAAACCGCCTTTTGGTCTTGTAAACTCTTCCAATTGACGTCGCAAGAAGGCATTCTGAAAGAAAAAAAAGCATTGAATTTTAGTAATATTGTAAATGCGAAAGTTACGATGCTTGGATTTTCGTAACTCAATCACGTCAAAACGGCTATACAGATACACTGCCGAATAGGACAGAGGCTACGTTTTATCAACATACTACGCAGGCGAAGCCGCGGGCGGAAGCTAGTATGTATATATACAACTTAGGAGAGAACTTACGCTGCTCGCATCTCTATTGGTCTTAGTGCTAATATGATGGTAAGAGGATACGCTTGTTAGGTTTTCCAATATTTCTTTTTTTACAACGACGCATAATTTGTCGGCTATTTCAGCATTATGTAATTTTCGCTTGTATTACAATTAATTTTCTTTAACGAATCTTAATAGAAACCCTATTAAGATTCGTTCAAGAAAATTATATTATATATATAGGTACATATATATATTGACTAGAGACTTTTAAATGACTATTATTGATAGTACTATGTAGTGCAACAATTTTTTTTCAATTCAAACCTTCAGTTCTTTTGTTTCATATTATTAGTTAGTAGATTGGGGAAAAATAGAACAAAAACATGATCGTTACAACAAAAGTAGGACACTCTTAACTAATATTTTTAACGAACAGGCGAGGAACAGAGGTCGGCTCAAAATAGCTCAACATTTCTAAGCTGCCACTGTTATTTAATATTGTCTTAAACATATTTATTAAAAAGAATTAAGATTATTTTAGCAAAACAATAACATTATTATAGCGCCGAAAGTTTTTTTTCTACTAGAAAGTGCAAGTCCTCTGCTATTTCAGAATATTCATATAAAGCGAAAGTATTAGGTAGGTATTAGTATTAGGGTATGTTTTCGCTTGTACTACAATTAATTTAGAAAAAAATCTTGACACAAGTACCTTCGGATTACCACTTTTCGGGAAGCCCTGGCAACTTAATTTACAAATTTTCTGCTAATAAACACATTTTATTTATTTATAGATTAACGTACTTAGAAATCTTAAACGAATTTTAATGCTAATCATGTCCATGGTTGATTTTAATAGAAGAAAATAAGGGTGTATTAGAGGGCCTAAAATACACCCTTAATTTCTTGTGTTCTTTAGATCCGGTGCTGGACGGTGGCTCTGGGCTTCCTACTCTCCTACCAGGAAATCTGTTATCTCAGAAAATCTTCTCAATATGAAAAGAGTTATTTCCCTCTCACCTCTCTCAGCAGCTCGTCTTCTCTCTCGGCGGCAATTTTTAGCATTTCCTTAGATCTTTCTAGAAGTAAATCTTTATCGTGTATAGTTCGCTTCAAGTTCGCCACTTCTAGCCGATGAGATTCCGATTGATGACGACCCTGGAAGTAAGTAAGTCATTTAATCATTACCGGAGGCCCAATCCTTCCCCTGCCCCAATCCGTTCCCTTTCCTAAAATCTCCAAATCCCTAATCCCCAAAAGGTCGACAACGCACTCGTAACTCCTCCGTCGTTGCGGGTGTCCGTCCGTCCGTTCCGTCCATCCGTTTGCTCGTTTGCCGACATATCATATAAAAAATATATTATAATAAGGATAACTAAGTTGGATACTATTGTTGGCTCACTCAGACTTTACATACATAGATGCTAATCTGGAATTACCCAGAAATATAATTTCTTTTGTGCAATTCCAAGGGAGTATCAGGGGCGATGCCTTTTAGAAAGGAGTACGATCGTTTGAAGGTCGTATCGGTTCAGAGTTTTGCTTTGTGAGGCAGAAAGCTTCACGATAATCGCAGTTGTTGACTACTAACCGTCTATATGACGGGTTTGAAACTAGGATTGCAAAACATTTATAAATTCACTTGAGATTCATAACCGAAATAACATAGGCCCATCTACCTTTTCTGTATTGCTTCGGTTACTGCGGCTGCTACTGGGTCTGGAGTCGATTCTCTTGTGACCAGACCCTGACTTTTGCTCTGCTTGTAGCTTGTTAATTACGCCTGAAATAGAAGATAATTTAATGGTACGTTTACACGCTTGCCAAGCCTTGGCAAGGATCGACAATCGCAAGCATGTAAAAAGGGCGTTTGGCTTGGCTTGCGTGGGCTTGTGCCTGCTTGCTTCCGATCCAGTCGAGTGTCGGTTTTTTTACGCAGATCAGAAAGTTGATCTCGAAGACAGCCAGAAGGTTGATCTCGAAGACAGCCCAAGCGGGTTCATAGACTGGCAAGTATCAAGGTGACTTTTTCGAGTGATATTATGTACCTACCTACTTTCGAAGATTTTTTAAACACTAGGTACTTTTACGACAATCGTCTCACACGCAAATTGATCAAGTCACAATTATTTCGTATAAAATACTGATAGTCTAGTAAACCATTTACATCCGCTATTAAAAGAAAACAAATGTCTATCAATTCACTAATTACGTGAAACTACAATTAAAAAAAAACTTTATAAACCCTGTTTTTATAATAACTATCGTGAGACATACTAGCGTGCGCAGACGCGCACGACGCAGACTGCGCGACGTCGCCGCGTCCGCACACGCTGCTCATGAGGAAGAACCCCTCTGTGGCTCGAAACTAGTAGAGCTTTTCTCAATATTTACACGTGAGTAACCCGTGATTTTTAGTTAATTTATAAACCCTCACTCAATCGGTTGAAGTTATCTAATAGCCCATACTTAGTTGTAAGATCACGCCCCTTTGCCTTTCAAAAACAAATATACCTACCTACATAGCAAGTTAAATACAAAATACGAAATTTCTACTTACCTCTTAAAGTCAGGACGGTTTGTTCAAGGTCGTTGACTCTATGCTGATGCGCAGTGGTAGGTAACGTCTCCATGGAATTTATCTTCTGGGTTAACTGAATATTCTCTTCTTTCAACATTTCGCAGTAACTAACAAATAATAATAATAAAAGACATCCATTTAAAACTATAATACCTATATATACAAAATAGGCATCTAAATCAGAATTGTAAAAAGTAATAAAAATAGATCTGCGGGCTTAACTCAGACTATATTTCAGTAACATTACTACGGAAACGGCACATTGCGTGATTTGTTTGAAAATAATTAAAACATTTGAGAGTATTTTTTGTCCTTCGAGAAACGAGCAGGCTTAATTCCCCCCTCCTTAATACTCAAATCCATATATCCTTAAATCCCTAATAGGCAATGAGAGGCCAGCAAGGCACATGATGTAGCAACTCCTTTGGTACTTCCAGTTTTCACGGGCGGCGCTGATTGCTTACGATCTTGTAATGCGAACGCATATTTAATAAACAAAAAGGACGAATCAGCTCGAAACGTCTGTGAAGTTACAATGAACATTGCTACCACTATTATTGAAGCTAATAGTTAACTAACAGTCTTGAGGTATAGTAGATAAGGTTTGCATATCGCATACTTTTTCCAGTAGTTAAGTTCAGGCTGTGCGTCTCCTCCGGACTTGAGCGGGGTGCGTATCTGAGACTCCAATATCGTGGACTCCAGCTTCAACACTTGCCCCTTCAGTGAAGTAATCTCAGCTAGAGACCTCTCGTATTCCGCTACTAATAGTTCGTTACCCTGTAACAGTAGTTTAACACAAAGAATAGGTAATAAAATTCTTGAATATATCTATTATTATAGGTTGAGCGACCGTATTATAGGAAAATTTCAAAGTGTTGACCCTGGTCTAGACCTACAATCAGGTGTGATGAGTTTTTGAAAATTGCTTTCCTCATCGCCGGGTAAGATGTAGATGGAACCCATGTTATCAGAAAATTCCTAGCGTTGAACTGTAAAATCATAGCAAAAATATACAAATCCATATCATCAGCCCAGATGTCCTGCCAATATTGTAGAACAGTCTTTTTTGAGATAGTGTACATTGGAAAGCTCATGTAAATACTTGCACTTACCGTCGAAAATCTTTGGTGAAATATTCCGAAACTAATATTTGTCTACACTCTTACAGTAAAGGAAAGGGTACGAAGTTACAGAAGACTAGTAAGATTTGTCATAAAGAACTAAAAAGGAAACAAAGGAAAATGAAACGTTGTGCCATAACATAAAGTACTTAATTGAGGAGCATTACCTTCTCAGCAATCTCCAACGCCGCGATCCTCCGCTGCTGAGCTTGTACTCGATCCAACAATGCCTGCGATGAGACTGGCAGTGCTGCCTCTGAACACATGCACTCCTTGCTACATCGTTCAGGTTTCTCTTGAGTTTCGGCCTCTTGTTTCTCAATTGCTATTATTTGGCTATCATCTAGAGATTTAGAATTAATATGTACATTAACACCTGCCCCATTTATGGCAATCGAATGATGTAATGTGTTTTATTCAGTTTTATTCATTAGGCACAGCTTAGTTAAAAAAAATGTTTTTGGACATGGCCATATATTGAGAAAAATTTACAGCAGATGGCGTAAAAAATCCCACATAGCGCAAATGAAGTTTGCACGTTAATATTCAACGATAGATAATAACCACGTTCAAATGTTGGGATTATCTACGATCACCTCGCCTGGTCGGAGGATACTCTTTTCCAATCTTAGGGAAGGTGGTTTTAGTGGAGACTTATAACTTAATATAAGGTGCACTCAGGCGGTTATTGGCGGTCTGTGAGGCTTATGCAGAAAAACACGGACTTGTGTATAATGTACAGAAAAGCAAATTGTTAGTTTTCAAAGTGAGACACAAAAAGCCAGCCCACGTACCGCCAGTTACGATGAACGGTGTGGCCCTTGAACGGGTTTTAAACTTTAAGTACCTAGGGCACATAGTGACTGAGTCTTTGAAAGATGACGATGACATGGAAAGAGAGCGGAGGGCGTTGGCTGTCCGATGCAATATGTTGTCCCGCAGGTTTGCACGTTGTACACCAAAAGTGAAATTAACGCTTTTTAAGGCATTCTGCCAGTCTTTGTACACGTGCACCCTGTGGGTTCGGTATACGCAGCGGGCATACAACGCCCTCAAAGTTCAGTATAACAATGCCTTCAGGATGTTGTTGGGGCTCCCACGTTACTGCAGTGCATCAGGAATGTTTGCTGACGCACATATTGATGGTTTTAAAGCCATCATAAGAAAGCGAGTAGCGTCCATGATGCGCAGAGTGCGTGGGAGCGGCAACAGCATTCTGAGGGTCATCAGTGATAAGCCGAGTTGCGCCATTTTGGCACACTGGATGCATGTACACGTTCATGTACCTGGTGTGTCGAATGTACGCAGCAGATATTTGAATTAAGGTCTTTCTGTATTTTATTTTTCACTAACATAGTTTTTAAGGTGTGTGAGTACTAACATAATATGGACTACGGTCTGAATTAAAGTTATTTTTTTTTTATTTTTTTTTTATTTTTTTTTATTTATTATTTTATATAATTGTATAGGTACTTATTGATTATGGTATAACTCCATTTATACACTTACGTTTAGCTTCATTTAGCCTAGTCAGCAGAACTCGCTTCTCCTTTTCCAGTCTCGCGACACTCGACTTGGCGAGGCTGAGGCCGGCTTCCAGTTTAGTCACTTCCTGGCACTTGTCTTCGTAGCGTGACTGCCAACGATCGGATGCTTGTTGTGCCCTATATATTTGTATTTATTGCGAGGTAAAAATATTATCATAACCTTTTCATAGATTTCTAAAACCTCTAGGGACCAAAACCATCAGTCAACTTTCAAACTTAGAGTTGGGATATCAGGAGTTATATCTGTATGTATTGATAGCTTGAAGATTAAGGCGCCTGCCTCTTAGACATGAGGGCTTCGGGGGTTCGGAGCCTAGCAAGCATATCTATTTTGCGTCTACTGGTATGCAAAAATGATTACAGTGTGGTCTTCAGGGATTGTTGTATATTAGATCCGACAGTACCCAAAAGTAATTGTTTAAGGGTTCATTGTAGCCTTTTATTTAAACCTGAGGCTCAATCATAACCGAGAGATGATCTCCGGCCACCGTAAGCGCGGTTCTGCGGACGGCGAGTAAGGGTAGCTCGCCGCCCGATCAGAACCAGACCCGAGCGTACGGCGCGTAGCGTTACGCGCGCGCACAGACGGGGCCCAATAAGGCTGATGTCCAGTCAGGGTTGCGGGGTAAGCGATTAAAAAAGTATATTACCTCTTCCATTTATCCCAGAGCGCAATGCTAGAGTTAGTTTCTCGTCTTGCGCTAGTCAGTTGAGCTTGTAGCGATGCAATCTTATTGTGCAACGCCGCAGTTTCAGCCGTCGTCACTTTGTGCCCCGTCGTGCTACTGCAATCATATTATCATTTGCTTCTTTATAGTGATATTCACGTTTGTTTTTCTTGAAATTATATTTAAAGCTATTCCATATTATTAATTTTGGAATAAAATAAAATAAAAAGATAAAACATAAATACATTCTAAACACTTGATTCTTAAGGTTCTGTGCATCCAAGCGAGCTCGCCTCTCCTTCGAAGCCAACACTTTGATCTGTCGACGAAGGATAGCATTCTGCTTTCCAACTAACTGCTTTTCTCGACGCAAGCGTTCAATAACTGGCTCTTGCCTGAAATTTTAAATCAAGTTTCAGAATCTTATGCCCGGTTTCCGAAAGCCCGATAAATGTTGAAATCAACTAACTTGGTGTCAAATCTCTTGTCAAGTCATCTGATTGGTTGTTGATAATTCAGACCAATCAGATGACTTGACAAGAGATTAAATTGATTTTAACGTTGATCGGCCTTTCGGAAACCGGGTGTTAAAAACAATAGATAAAAAACGGACTTCTCATTTCCCGGGTGAATAGTTGGCAAAACTAGCATTATTATTTACATTTTATATTTGATTTTTGAACCCATTCGAAGTGTTTTGAATCTTTCAAATATATGAAAATCAGCTTCAGATTACTTTTAATCGATAGAATGGATGTCTCACTTAATAGGTATACATACTTCTGCCAATGCGTAAAATACTTTTCAGATCTTACCATATAGTTGTGGAAGAAGCTGGGATCCTCATAACGTCGTTATGTGAATCGTGCAGGTCGACCGAGGACTCAAACTTTAATTCGAGTCTCTCTGAATCGCGATGAGATAACACATCACTTGTTTCATCCACTTCTACTATAGCTGATAGGTCGAAACTGGGGTCGTTTACAGAGATCAGAGTTTGCATGTTCATTACTTGTGTCTGGAATTAAAAAAAAAAAAACAAAAAGCTTTTGGATTGTGGATATGTCGTAAAAAACCCGTGTAAAAAACTTAGTCATCTATCATTTGTTTTACAAATACAAACAGAATCCACATTATATTTTTTTTTTAATTAATAATTTTGTGACAGTCGACGCTAGTACTGCTTCTGGTGTGAACACGGCCAATGGTAATTTAGGCACTAGACCGGATCTCCGTCATCCCATATCTTTCTGTCATTCTAGAATCTCCAATCCGGAAAATATTGAAATCGTTAGGAGGTTTGTACTATTTACATGAACTCTCGCGTCTAACTTAAAACTGTCTGAGTTGAAAGTAAAATCAGTGTAAAATAAAATAAGGTAAAGGTACGAATCTCGCATAGGATTCAGATTGGACTTGTACGAAACCGCTCTTACTGTTTACTTACTCTGAGGTTGTTGATAATGATCCGTAACTGTTCAATCTGTGTATCTTTATCAGACAACTGCTTTAGGTAAACAGTTTTTTGATCAGTCAACCTTGTCCTTAGGTCCATGTGTTCGCGTTGCATTTCATTCAACTGAGTCAACCAGTGTTCGTTCTCCGCTTTATACGATTTCACCTGTCAATGACATATTATGTAAAACATACATCCTGTAGTAAAAATATATTTTCTAATTAATTAACATCACCTCATGACAGTGCCGTTCTTCTAGTTGAGAATTAAGCTGTTCCATTTTCGTAAGTCTTTCAGTAGCCAAATCCTTCCACCGTGCCGATTCGCTTTGATATGTTGTCCTAGAAATCAATTAAATATAGAAATAAATTAAAAGCTTGATTTATTTATCTACTTCAATTATCTCACTAGTACTAACAGTTCAGATTTGCACTCATCAAGTTCACTTTGTAGTTTGAAACACTTGTCTTCCAATTCTGAAGTTTTCATTGTGTATTTTGTAACGACTTCTTTCAACGCTTCTCCGTTGGAAGCACTTGATTCACTGGCCCGCCTGTAATAAATAAGTGATTAGTGGCATGTTTAGGCTCTTGTTGCGTCATACAGATGTTATCACCTCGTCAAAATGATTGATTTGTACGTTACTACATTCCAGCAAATTTAAAATAAACATAAATATACCTATCTAAGTTTGACTGCAGTTCCACAATTTTTAATTGCAAATCTTTAACAGATTTCGCATATTCGTCCCTTTCATTATTAAGAAGTCCTTTGTACTCTACAATTATAGAATTTTTATCGTCCTCTAACTGTTTTAGAGCAAGCAACAACGATTTATTTTCTTCATTGGCATTTTCTCTCTTTTGATTGGCTTCAGCACTTAGTTTCTTTTGCAAATCAATAATTTGGTTTTTCAAATCGTTAACAGTGGACTGCAGTTTGTCGTTCACAATGTCTTTTTGGTTACTCGATTCTTTGAGACTTTGCAGTTTAGTTTCATAAGTAACTTTCTCATTATTAAGAGCCAAGATTTCTTCAGTACGTTTATGGGTTAGTGACATAGCTTCGTATAATTGTTTACTCGTATCGTTTATTTCAGCAGTTAGAGATTCTATCTGGTCACGCATTTTATTTATAACGTCATTGTTTTCATCTGTTTGAATTAATTTGTTGGTATTCACTATTTCATCGGTTTGTGTAAGGGAATCGGTAAATGTCTTGCTTGGTTGTCTTTGAGAAACTTTAGCTGGAGAGTCAGGCTTCTTATTTTCCGGTTGTTTACCTACTGTTTCTTTTTCTTGGTTGGAGGTTGTTTGCAAAATTTGTGGTTTAGATAAAGTAATTGTTTGGCTTCCTAAACAAATAATAAGAAAAGATGAGTTATGACAATTTTTATAAGGATCGAAATGCCTATCTCATACATATGCGGAATTTCGTTTGATGGTAAGCGTACGTAAACCTTGAAGCCACAAAAAGTGATTATTTTTTATAAAACAAACGTTAGATAATTAAATTGTCATGACGGAATCATCAGCCGTTGAAGAAAAGTTACAATTCAATACAAGAGGATCTTTATCTATGAAATCGTCACCTTTCATGAAATGAATAGTATTTTGTAGTTATTTTGTAAAACTGACTATTAAACCAATGACGATAAAGTAAAGTAAGGCAAAATGACAATATCATATACAAAGATCTTATTAAATGTATGATTTACACTTAATGAGAACTTGATTATGCTTTAAGAACTTACTTCTAGGACTAGACTCATCTTCAGATTGAACATCTTCTAATTCCATTTGAACAGATTGATCATCAGTATCCTCACCACTACTTCTGTGTTGATCATTCGTGGTCTTTTCGAAACCTTGATTTAGCAGCACAAGAGTTCTTTCTAAATTGTTACAATGTTTCATCAAGTCTTCTTGAGATCTTTCCATAGCTTTTAATTTTTTATTAATATGTTCTATTTCCCTAGTATTTACTGATTGCTGTAATGATAGACATATCGATTTCAACATTACCGAGCCGAAGTAATTTTTGAGATCTTTTTTACTTTAAAGAGTTTTTCTTACCATCATAATGTATTTCAGTTTATGCGGACAGCTATCTTCTCCTATTGAGCATTTATTTTTGGATACATCCAATATTTGGTCAAATACAGCATGTTTTGAAATTAAATTAGCTCGCAGGTCATCTATTTCGTAAAGTTTTTCGTCAACAGCTCGATTTTTACGGGAAAGTTCTTCTATTTTATTTAAGTATTTTTCAATAGATGTTAGTGGGACACTACCTTGATACTGTTGTCGGAGTGTTGTCAAAATTTCATATAAATATCTGAAAAATTATTAAGTGAGTAAATCGATAAGTATATTTTTATTAGCATCATCATTTTAGATAACTAAAAGTTTTCGTTACCTGAATTTAGATTCATATCTCGTAGCATAAACATCAAAGATTTTTTGACGCGCTCTGAACATATCTTCGGCTTGTATTCTTAATTCCCTTTCCTTATTAAGAGCCGCTTGAAGTCGCTCCAGTTTTTTATGACTTTCTGAAGCTTGAAGATGTGCGACTAAGATTTCTCCACTAAGTCTGAATATAATATCATTTGTTAATTTCGGAAATTTGGTTTTTGGTTACTGATATTAGGTAATAGACAACGTTGTGCACGCTTTTGTTATTATAATCAGAAGAGTATAGAACCATGACTATAGAAAAAATTAATTTGTTTTTACGAAAGTATGATGAATTCACCTTGCTATTATAGCTTTATTATCACTAGTAGATTGTAGATCTAAGATTTGATGTTGCAGCATGTTAATTTCCAAGTCATTGCTCAGTTGCCTTTGTTGATTGTCTTGTAACTGTAATATGAGGTGGTAGTTATTTATTTTAATAGTATCTACAAATGACTATTTCATTCCAAGAGTGTAAGTTTTACCTGAAGTAGTGCAACATCTAATTGACTACTAATATGTTGACATTTTTCTTTGAGTAGCCCGTTTTCGTCTGAGAGGTTGTTGAGTTGCTCCTTCATTAAATTAGCTTCTTGTTTCGTCAAAGAAGCTAAAGTTTCGTCTCTAAAACCAGATTAATCATTTTAATTCTTAAATGCTTAATAATCTCAAAAAACTATTAAATTAATAATATCTTACATATTTTTAACTCGAACTTCTTGTAGCTCTGCATTTTTCAATTCTAAACTTGTAATTTTTTTATTTTTGTCATCTAGTTCAGTACAAAGTTGTTTTATTTGCTTATCTAGCACCATTTGTTCTACGTTTGATTCGATTTTCTGTGCACATTCTTCTGTTGATTTCCCTAAAAATAAAATATTAAAGAAAACTTTTAAAACCAAGACAGTAAATAGGTACCTACGATATTAACTCCACTTCGGTACTCTGTTCAGTGCATGAAGTTTGATAAATAAAAATATGTATATTTTATGTACCTTTCTGATGGTTCATTTCAACGCGAATATAGTTGATAATATTAACTTTGTCTTCATCAAGTCGACTAAACAAATTCAACATGTGATTTTTATGATTAACACCATCCTCTACAAGTTTTCTGTATTTTGAAAGAATTTCACTGAGGGCAAAGTTTTGTTTCCAAAATAGCTCCAGTGATATAGAGTAACGCAATCTATCGGTTAAATTGGCAACATTTAGAATTAGTTTTTGAATTTGCGTTTCGTACTCTGAGGCCGCTTCCATTGAGTCTTTTTTACTTTCCAGGATTTCGTTTTTCAAGTTTTCATTTAGAGTCCGTATATATTTATATGCTTCCTCTAAATATATACACTTTCTTTCCAAGCAAGTAATACTAGGTATGGGAACTATCCCTGGTGAATGATCACTACTATCATCTTCTTGCAGTTGAGTTTTTAATCTTTCTATTTGAGCTTTGTAATTTTCTTCCTGAATAGACCACTTGTTGAGATCGTCGCTGGCTTGTATTGCCATACACGTCAGTTTATCAAACAATTCCTTGAATTTTATGTGAAAATATTCCAATCCCTTTTTTAGTTGACATTCGTACAAAGAATTTCCCTTTTCTACCAATTTATCTATTTGTGATTTGTCACAAAAGTCAATGTCATTTTGTTCTTTTTCTGACATCCATGAACCAAATTCAATATCATCATTCTTTTGTTGTAGTAGTTTCTCTTCAGCCTCCTTTTCCCTATTTTTTACTTCCATTTCATTCAACCTCTTTTCAAGTTCTGATGACTTTTTCGTTGCATCTGACAGCTGAGCCATTACATCGAAGGTTTCTTTTCTGTAATATATTTTTTCGTTGATAATAAACAAATTTTACACAAACAGATAATTTACTTAGTAGATAAAATTTTTTTTAACCTTGCTTCATGTAAAGCGGTCAAAAGTGCATCTTTACCACCCAAAGCGGTTCGTAATTCCATCACTGTGGACATATGTGGTGCGAACCAGCCAGCTGAGTTACGTGCTTCCATTGATAATAGGATTGCTTCCAAACTTGGACATTGTAGTGTCAGTATACCAGAAGAAGTCTTGCCTGGGAATTAAAATTGGAATTTAGTGATGAAAAACTCAATTTAAAATAAGATTTGCACTTTGAGGTCTACTTACTATTATCTCTTAAGAAGTCTAGGATTTCTTGGAGTCCCTTGCGAAGACCTTTGTTCTCCTCAATAATGGTTAACATTTCTTTTTCTTGATTTTGTTTCTCCGTAACGAGTTGTTGAAAATCGAACTCTGTGATGGTGCTATTGTAAAATGTATTTTATAATGTATGTAATATCATTGCAAATACACAATTAAAGTATATTTATGAAAATAATTACCATGTAACTTCTTCCTTTTCAAGTTTAGGCTGATTTTCATCGCTTTCACTGTCTTCAACTATTTCATCTATTTTATTCTTCGTATATCCAGCCTTATTTAGAACACCAACCAGTTTTTTGATTTTAGTATTCAATTGACGGTTACTCAGTTCTGTTCCTACAAGCTTATTTTCAAGCCTTTTTAATTCTTTTGTTATTTTTGCGTTCGTTTCTTGTAAATTACGGTAGTCTTTCATAATTCCTTTAACTGGTACTTTTTCGTCGGACGGTACGTTGAACCTTTGCCTATAGAGTGTAAAAAATAATGAATTGCCTAATATCTACGCTGAAAGCTTACCTCCGTCATACCTTAAAGTGTAGTTACCTGAGTGTCTCATTTTCGAGTTGTAAATCATTGATCATATTGTTTAAAGTATTTGCTTCTTGGACTAAATTTTTGATACCTTCATCCTTGAACTTCAACTGTCGTTTTTTATTTTTCAGCCCTTCAAGCAACGCGTTTATTCCTTCATCTGATTGCAAAAGTTGTAGTTGCGATGTTATTTCTGTTAACTTATTAAGAATAACAATTAATCATAAAAAATACTAAAATGAATATTCATTGTTTATTTTTGCAACTTACTTCTTTTTCTCTAGCTGCAACCATTTCTTCAGCGCCCTGAAGACTAACTGTTAAAGATTTTACTTTTCGTTTTAATTTGTTGATGATTGTTCGCTCCTTATTGTCGTCGCTAATATTTTTAGCCTCGGACACAGAATTGTCAGGAAGTTCTTCGATAACTGCTTTTAGTTGTTTATTTTCAGCTCTTAATAAATTAATAAGATTGGCTGTTTGCTCAATTTCATTAGAGGCTTCAGTCAATTTATCTTGCAACTCTTTTATTTTCCGTTTTTCTGCGTCGCTTTTCTGTGATAAAATGTATTTGCATTTTGTTAGTAAATTTTACTAAAATACTTACCACATTGCGGTAAAATTTCATAGTTGAATAAATAGTACTAAAAAGTACTACTTTCTTTGGTTCAATAAAGCAAAAAGGAGTTTGAAAGTGCT